TATTTAAATGTGGTAGAAAATCAAATAGATAAAAAGATGAAAGCTTTAAGAACTGATCGGGGGCATGAATATCTATCTAAAGAGTTTAAAGAGCTATGTAATGACAAGGGAACCGTTAGGTAGTTAACTATTCCCAATACACCTTAACAAAATGGTGTTACTGAGATGAAGAATAGAATGTTGGTAGAAATGGTGAGGTCCATGATGGAATATGCTAACTTACCTATTTCCTATTAGGGAGATGCTTTGTTAACTGCGACTTATTTCTGAATAGAGTTCCATCTATATTGGTACCTACTAGACCATCTATATTTTGAATCATTTCCACATGTCGATCTAAGTGGCAGCAATTTATCTCTAACTCTTGTGATAGGGTCACTTCAGAGCTTTCAATTCGTAAGAGTACTAGAAAAAGTATGCCTAAACTTAATTTCGTGATTGAAGGACAAGTTTTTTGAGTATCTTCAGAAGGTGATGAAGAACCAAAATCAGTACAAGAAGCTCTTTCATACACTGCAAAGGAAAATTGGAAGAATGTAATGGAAGAAGTGATGTAGTCTATGAAATCAAATCAAGTCTAGGACTTGGTTGGTCTTCCATTTGATCGAAAAGCCCTTAAGAACAAAAAGGTTCTCAAAATAAAGCCAAGAGCTGATGAGACTATAGAGAGGCCTAAAGTTCGCTTGGTGGCAAAGGGTTATACTTAAAAGAGACCAATATAATAAAGATTGTAAATTGAATAGGGTCAATCTATGGCCTAAAGCAGTCTTCTAGATAGTGGTACTTGAGATTTGACAAGGCAGTTATCTCGTACAATTTTGTCATGATGGACAAAGATTACTATATTTATTTGAAAAGGTCCAATGAGAAATTTGTAATTTTATCTCTCTACGTGGATGATATCTTCTTGGCCGGGAATGATAAGGAGTCTATTGAAACTACTAAGAAATGATTGTCCTCAAATTTGGAAATGAAGGACATGGGTAAAGCAGATTATATATTAGGTGTTAAAATCCATAGGGATCGTTCGAAGATGCTTCTTGCTCTGTCACAAGAGCCACATATAAAGAAAATTCTTGAATATTTCAAAATGGAGAATTGCAATCCCGTTGACACTCTTGTACCGAAAGGTGAAACTCTAATTGCAATTTCTAAAACTCTTGAATAAAAAGAAGAAATGTCCAGAGTTCTATACTCTAGTGGGGTTGGGAGTTTGATGTATGCTATGATGTGTACTCCCACCGACATTTGTTATGTTGTAGTTCTAGTCAGCAGTATCAATCTAATCCCCGGAAGAGAGCATTAGAAAGTTGTTAAGAGGATATTGAGATACTTGAAAAGTACTGCTAATTACTCCTTATGCTATGAAGAGAATGATTTGTGCTTAAAAGAATATTGTCTACGACTAACCCCACCTTTGGTAGATGAGCACAAATCAACTTTGGGATATGCATTCTTGCTTAACAATGATGCAATCTCTTGGAGTAGTAAGAAACAAATATGCATTTCATTGTCCACAATGGAAGCATAATTCGTAGTATGTACTTCAGCGATACATGAAGTTGTTTGGTTAAGGAGATTCTTATAGCATCTAAGAGTCCTTAGTTGTGATGTGAGACCTATATTGATTTACTATGATAGTCAGGCAACCATTGCATATACAAAGGATTCCAAGTATCACAACATAACCAAATATATTGATACAAAATATAATTTTGGCTGTGAAGTGCTACGCTTGGAGAGGGTGGTTGGCGGTGGTCGCTCAGCTGTGTGCGACGCTGCAGTCCTTCAATTTTTTTTGTAGTGGTGGTGGTTCTACTCCGATTTTTTGTTGGCGGTGGTGTTGTGGCGGGGTAACGGAGGTGGTGGGTGGGTTTTGTTGTGGCAGGGGCGACGATGGTAGTGGGTTTCCTTTTTTGTTGGTGGTGGTGTAGTGGTGTTTATCATAAAAGGTTGGATCGTGATGGTGAAGTGGTGGTGGCGGTGGTACAGTCCTTGTTGGCCGTAGTTCAGTGGTGGTCGCAGTGGTGCAGTGGCGGTGGTTCAGTGGTGGTCACGGTGGTGTAGTGATGGTTGGCGGTAGTGGAATTTTGAAAACATCCAAAACATGTTTTGAAAAATTTGGCTTGATTTTAACTGAAAACACCTAAAACGACATTTTTGTTGTTTTCGATTTTCTTTGTAAATTTTAAACTTGTTTTCAGAAATTTGTTTTTGAAACTAAGTATGAGAACGAGTTTTCACTGTTTTGAAAAATCGAAAATAGAAAACGGGGCTGAAAACGGTAAAGAGAACAACCCCTAAGTGTTTGCTCAATGATCAACCTTAGAAAAACCGTTCTGTGGCGTTTGTTATTTATAGGTTAGGTTAATGAATGAATGGGTCGGACACATTTTTTTTTTTTAAAACGAATTAAAAAAAATTTCTGGATAGCACTATTGCTCGAGCAAGGGATGAACGATAGTCGAGCGATAGATTGTCGCTTGAGCGAAGGCAAGGCGACACGCAGGCGACTCAATTTCTATTTCTGACGCTTGAGCCAGACCTTGGCCGTAAGCTAGCAATATTCCGACGCCGTTTTTCCTTCTTTTCGATTCTCGAACTTTAGACCTAATATAACACAACTTTCNAAGCTAAAGATATTCCGGCACCATTTTTCCTTCTTTTCCATTCTCGAACCCTAGACATAATATAACACAACTTTCTACTATTTGCACATTACTCCTTGACTTTTACAACATATCAATTTAAGTCCATTTTGTTCATAGACTTGTCAATTACATTAAATACCTAACAAAATGCACGAAAATTTGTTTAGTGCTGAATAGCCTTACAGAGATGAAAGCACAAAGATCTAATGCAAAGAGATCTGTAATGTAGAAAATTTAATCACCAACGAGTTTTTGGGATCACTTTAATTCCAAAACAATCGACACCACCACGAGGGATCAACCCAAAATATCACCTATAACTTCACCCACTCCGGTTGCTTTTAGTACCCACCAAGAAACACACAAAGGAAGGTATTATAGCAGCCACATAGGCTGGAAATAACTAGAGAGAAGAGAAGAACCAAGACAAACGACAATACGAAGCAGAAGACGGAACGTAGCCAAGGTTATCACTAAAGGGTTTTGCAAAGACACAGTATCAAGAAGAAAAACCATATATAATAGTTAGGTTAATTTTAGGTTAGACAATGAGCCAAGCCCAATATGGTCCATAGGTGTTTAATGAGTGGGCTAACTACAAAAGCCGTCCAAGGAGCTATGGATTGAGCCATGAGCAACTCTAAAATAAATTAGGCTATTATTAGTGGTCCATACTAGTTATAGGTTCGAGTTATTCCAATCGAGGTGTCTACATTTCTTTTCAGCCATTTGGTCAATGCCAACTGAGTAATATGATTTAACATCATTGCCCGGGAAGATAGTTTGGCAACAATTTGCTTAACAAGATCTATGTTCACTTCTTTGCATTTACCCACATACAGTAATTTTACCATTTTGTTCATTTTTTATACTGAGATAAGATTTTATGTAATAGGAACTTATTACTTAATTACTGTCTATATAAATGCAGCAGAATCCCACAACAGATTGCTGCAGTTCCTGGAAAATCCAAACCCTTGTTTAAAGCTTCGAGAAATTAGACAGGACAAGGCACCTAGCCAAAACTCGTGCCCTACTGTCTGAAACTATTGCCCTTTTTTCTTCTCAGAAATTCTCCATCAATGGCTGAAGGAGACCATCTTGTGGCAGTGAGGGAGGAGGAGATGAATTCAACTTGGAGAGGCTTCCACTTAAAAGAACCACTTATTTCCTTAGGCCTTTTGTCACTCCAGTTTCTGCCGCTTGGTATGATTATGTTAATCCCACCGCCTGTCACGACCCGTCCCAAGTCACCCTAATAGATCTGGCACGTCTCTTTTGGTCAAAATTCAAATATGG